TTGGGGGTGACCACAGCATGAGGAACTGTGTTAAAGGGTCTCAGCATTAGGAAGGTTGAGAACCACTGCTTTAGAATGTTTTTCAACCTTTTTTTTTAAACTCATGGCACACTTGAATTTATAGTTAAACTTCCACAGCACACTTAAATTATGTTGATCAGAGGGAAAAAAAGAATTTACTAACTGTACTTTGAAAATAATTTAATTAATGGTCTTTAAAAATTTTAGCCACAGCACAGCTTTAGAGTAACAAAATCACAGGCTTTGGGTAGGAAGAGAATGTGATCTGATTTGCATTTTTTCAAAGAGAATGAGCAAGAATGGAGGGAGAAAAGAAGATAAAGCCTATTATTCTTGTTCATGTAAAAAGTAAAAGAGATCTGGTTTAGAGTTTTGCCTTGGCCATGGAGAGACAAGAACAGTTTGCAGGTAGCATCAACAGAACTTGTGTGAGTATGTATGATTGAAAGGAAGGAAGGAGTCACGGACCAATTCCAAGTTTCTGGCTCCGGAACATGGGGGAAAGTGGTTCCATCAGGCAGACATTGAGAATGGAGGAGGCAGGAGTTTCTCATGTCAGGAAAGAAGATGTCAGCTTCAGTTCTGGAAGTGTTCAGTCTGGTGCTCGTGAAATGGTCCTTGGATAAATGTCTTCAGGCACTTGGATAAATGACATGACAAGACTGGTCTGATCACAGACATACATTTGAACATCATTAGGGAACATGAGAGCAAGCAAGATCGCCCAGGGAAGGATGTTACTCTCCGAGTGTGTTACCAGTGCTAGTGTGCTACCTGGAAATGTCTTGGTCTGAAAATCATCTACAGAGAGTTGCTCCATGCATCAGAGGTTGCTTTTGTCTCATCTACTTTCCATAGGCTGTCTCCATATATTTCTGCTTTTGTGGTATAAAGGTTCTCGTGCATCTTTTCAAGTATCCAGCCCGCTTTCTCCCTGGCTTCTCTTATGTCTTTGCTTTTTGGCCTTTTGCTTCCCAGGTGATAATCTTTATGCTTTCACCCCCACTTAACTCTCCATCCTCCGGCTCTCGTCCACATACCTGGCAACCATGTGATCCGCCATGACCCTATTACTTGTCTTGCAAAACCATCTTCTGCAGTGAGACACCTATTCTCTCTGCTCTTCCTTTACAATTTGACTTTGTAAAAGGCCTGCACACATTTCTGACCTTGATCTCCTCATCTATAATATAGGATGGCCCACTTTTCCTGCCCTCATTTAAGGTTTTGTGAGGATGTCAGGATATCTTATTTGTTACAATATAAACACTTTAGTATTACATTTGATAATTTAGGCATAAAAAATATGAAGGAGAGAAGACATTGTCTTGCCTTGGCATACTTCAACTACCACATGAATTTCTGAACACATATGTCCAAACAATAAAACCTATTCTATTGAATGTTTACTTTATAGAGATTCCTCCTTGCATTTCCCAAAAGGTCCATGTGTAGAAAGTGTGAAAAACCTCGTGATTAATTGGATTCTTTCACTGTGAAGTAAGTATAGAGAAAACTCAGTCAGGAAATACTGGCTGAGCATTCAAACTTCTGACACCCTGGCAGAAATCCTCCCCTTCCTTACCTGGCCCACATGTTGGTGGGGGACTCGAGGCTTCCTGGGGCTCTTTTCCATCACACATTTCCAAACAAGTATTGCCTCCCTCTGTAAAAAGAAATGAAATCCCTCAGAGGTCTCAGTATACAAGCAAGGGAAAATCTGGAAGATGTAGGCAGCTCAAGCATCTCTTAGGTGGGACTGTCTCTGCCCCAGACTCTCCTGGTCTGCCCTTTGGATTCACCTGGCCTATAAGTGGACACGCTCCAGTCACTACTACAAAGGCTGAGAACCACCCACCAGCTCACAGCCTCCCTGTACACCTGAATCTCTCTCCTCTCCTCCCCCATCCCTTTGCACACCTCCTCTGTCTCTGGGCTTGTTTCCTGCTCTCAGTGTCTCCAGATGCTTTCTTTGTTTCAGTGTGTTTCTCCCTTCTCGGCTCCTGTCCTTTTCTCTTACACCCCTAACTCTTCTCTTTACCTCCTTTCTCTGTCTCATTTATTGCCTTCTCACCCCCTTCTCCAGCAAGGCATCCCTGGGATAGTGGAATAGAATCAGACCAGAGAAGAGGACAAGAAACAGAGTGAGCCAAAGAAGTACCACCCCATCCAAGCAAAAGTATGTTCAAAGGCCTACAGAAAATGGAAAGATTAGAACATTGCCACCCCTGAACTATTCATGCTATTATGAGAGATGCGACAAGTGATATAGATTAGGGTCCCATGGTGGGTGGAAGCCACAGAGATCCATAGGAAGGAGAGTGATTTAATTGTAGGCAACAAGTATATACCAGGTTTAAGGGGAAAATAAGATGATCTGATTTATATCTTGCAAACAGCAATGTGCAAAATTAGAAAAAAATGAGCCGGATTGGGTACAAGACAAAACAAGACATTTATCCCTTTATGGAGACAGTAAACCCTGAAGAACGTGGGGTTTCTAATTTCAGGGGAAAAGATGTAGGTTTTTATTTGGGATGTGTTCAGTTCCTGAAAGACATCCCAATGGAGAAGGCCCTGGCATAAAAGTCTTTAGGCACATGGATGGATAAGACAGGTGTGCTTGGCAGATGTGCACTTGAAAATCATTCCACTGCCTGAGAACAAATGAGACTCCCTGGCAGAGGATTGTTACTCTCTGAGTATGTTTCAGTACTGCTGTCTATCTAAGGAGACCTTACTCTGAAAGCTCACACCTGAGACAGACCCCTTCTTCTCCAAGTTCCTCTGTCCAGTGACTCTGGCTTCAGTGTTATAGGCAATGGTTTTCACTCTCAGGGATTCCTTAACTACCTCTTTCTGTACAT